AGAGGGATGGAGGTGGGGAGAAAGAGGGGGGGAAAAAAGAGACAAAAGCAAATAAAATGAGGAAAGAAAAAAGAACTGCAAGGATGGTCAGCTGGAAGGAATGAGAAGAGTGGTTAACACAATAAAATATTAGGATGAATGAGGCAAAAAGAGGTGGACAAGAGAGCAGGGAGGGGCTGAACTCGGCATTAGAAGCAGTTTTAACACTTAGGTCATTTCTTCAAACTAAACCCTGGAGAACCACAGCTCACAGTTCTGATAGAGCAGCCGTCCAGAAACAAGTCACACAGGAAGCTGTGGCCTAACTGTGCTTTAGTGTACAGTCATATTTTCTGAAGGAGGGCTCAAGAGTTAACAGTTTGATGTCGATCATCCTTCACGGTGATCCTGATAGAAACACTTCCTGCTTTTAGCGCTGTAGATTCAGCATTTAAAGCACGCCACACTATTATGTCTTCCATAATACAGCCATCCAAAGCATATTCGTGTTTATAATGGACTCGGGTTCCTATGCAAGTCAGTTCAAGTCTGCAACAAAACAATCTGGGTTCAACTTTAAATGCTGACACCACAGAGGTCCGGTTTGTTTTCATCCTGAGCTGAGTTGGTCGTTCTTTACCTCACTGCCTAAAAACATAAACCGAAGGAACGGACCGCGTTGGTTTTACCATCACAAACTGTACGAAGAATTACTGTAACCAAGAGGAAATGTAGGGATTTGATGTTTTTGTAAGGTTGTGTTGGACACTCAACGCAGATGTAAGACAAAACTGAACATTTCAACACAGAATGAGGAAAATCGCTTTATTTTGGTAACAAAGAATTAAAGATTTTAAACCTATTATTTTCTTAAACACAAATGAACAGATGTCTATTAACATGCACTGGTTTATAGTCATTTCTAACAGAAGTGATCACGTCATCGATCAGCTGGTTCAAATAAACACATTAGTCAAGATTTTGATGCTTAAGTGATAATTATAAAGAAATAAGTTTTGTCATTTTTGACTATTATTAAGATTACTGTTCTAATTGCTTTAACTTATTGAGATTTGCCTGTTTGGTTTTTTTTACTAAACCACTCTTCTAATCATCACTCTTGTTTGGAATATGCGTTGCCTGTTACAAACCACATCCAAACCAGGTAGTGAAGACAGAGTTTTCCTCATTATTTTCACTGACATAAAAAAAACAATAGATTAAAAAAAGACAGAAAGAAAAAAGAGGAGATCTATGGATGCAGTTAAGGAGGACATGGAGGTAGTTGGAGTGAGGACAGATGATGCAGACAGATAGAGGTGGAGGGTGAAGAGGGGGAAACTTCGGTTACATTTTAAACATTTGCTTGAATAAATTCACAAATCAATTGTGGCTTTGAGAATATTTCTTGTTATATTCTCCCCCTTATGTTCCCCGTCAGATTCCCAGGTTATTCCATACGTTTGCAGACTAAAAATGTTCATTCTTCTATCGATTTTCAAGTCACTTTGACCAAAATACTTGCATATTTTCTAAAATGTACCAATTTTGTACAATAAAGTAGTGCAGCTTTGTTACAGGTAACTTATACAATAGACTACTGCACCATTATACGCCCGTCAACAAACTATACAGCAATCTAAAGCAATGGCCTGGACAATCAAAGAGCTTGCGTACAATTTGACCTCGATTTTTTTTTTTACCTTGACCTCAGCGCTGGGGTGATGAAAAGACTACACTGTCTAGTGATGGTAAAAATGTGTATCAACTTCCGTAAAATTGACTTGAGCGGATCAGAAGTTATGGCCTGGACTAGCAAAGACCTTGTATAAAGTTTGACCTTGACTTGTGATCTTGACCTTGGAGCTGGGGGGATGAAAAGTATACAGACTCTGTATAGTGATGATGCATGTGCTTATCAGAAGTTATAGGCGGACAAGAGGAAGTTTACAGACGGACAAGAGTAAAAAAGTTTAGATGTTGAAAAGATTGTCAATTATTTAAACTAAAAAATCAATTTTGTGACGATAAACAACTACGGTAGCTACTACTGCTTTGTTTTATGTCCATTTGTGAAAATATATTAGTAAAAGTTTAAAGTTTTTTTTTTATGTGGCAGATATTTCACACCCTTTCACACCAACACACAACATTAACTAAACTATTTTATTTCTTTAGCCTTCCATACATATATATACATATAGGCCTGTACATTTATGTCAGCTGAACTATTAAATCATTTCCTTTTTGCGATTATGAGCTTGTGATGACAACGTAAATACTACAGAATGATATCTAACAACAACAAACGATGCGCGTGTCCTAATTCAGTTCCTGGAAGATGGCAACTGTAGAGATGTATACAAAACAAAAATAAATTGTGGTGACTATATTTAGTTTTTAGCTACTAAAAATATACCCTGCTCACATTTGATCAATTCATTTTCTAAGAAAATGGAATAGGTAAAAAGTTAGGAAACACTAATATTTAATCTGTTTTCAGCTTTCCTTATGAAACCTGGAAAATACTAAAGTCCAACTCTAGGTTTTTCCAGAATCTGAGAACAAAACCTTGAAATTCTCTCAGGATATTATCCACCTTCACTATTTTATTGTGACATTCTCAGGACTTGGATCATTTGTATGTTTTTCAACAGTTAGTAAAATATTAATCGGGCTGGAAAAGTATTCATTTAAATGTGTATCACTGTGAGCTCGACTTGAATAAAATCAAAATAATAATTTGCAACAGTCAAATGTCAGCTAGAAGTTTGGAGATTTCCTGGGACACCGTCTCCAACATAAGTCTGATTAAAGTAATTTTGTTTTTGTTTTGTTTGTCCACAGTTTGGTTTATTAAATGCATTTCATCTCTAATATTAAAGAATATTGAACAACAACCTTCATATCAATGGGAAGAAGATGAAGGAGATGGTTGTGGACTTCAGAAGGAACAAACACACCTCCCCTCCCCTGAACATAGGAGGATCTGCGGTGGAAGTGGTCTCCAGCTACAGTACTTGGGTGTGCATCTGAACAACAACCTCAGCTGGAGCAACAACACCACCAGCCTGATCAAGAAAGCTCATCAGAGACCCTACTTCCTCAGGCGGCTGAGGCGAGCTGGACTGGGAAGCTCAGTCCTCACCTCCTTCTACAGGTGTGCAGTGGAGAGCATCCTGTGCTCGAGCATCAACGTGTGGCATGGAGGCTGCACAGCTGCAGAAAGAAAAGCCTTGCAGAGAGTGGTGAAGGCTGCACAGAAGACTGTTGGAGTCAGCCTCCCCACCATCACATACATCTACACCTCCAGATGCAGGAAGAGAGCCACCTGCATCATGAAGGACCCCGCTCATCCAGCACACTCACTTGTTGCCCCGCTCCCCTCAGGAAGAAGATTTAGGTGCAATAAGTGTAGAACCACTAGACTGAGGAACAGCTTCTACCCTGGGGCTGTTAGACTCATGAATATCTAACTAGGATAAGCACTGTGAAAAATCACATCATGTTGCTGCTGATCTGTTTCATGTTGCTGCTGATCTGTTTCATGTTGCTGTGTTCATTTGTACTCCTCTGCTCACACACTCATGTTCGTGCTGCTGTTCGATGTATTGTTTTTATGTTATTTTAAGCTACTAGTGCTTAGTGTGCTTTTTCTTAGTTCATAACTTAGATCTTATTACTGTTTTTCTTTTACATTTTAATACTTTTGTTGGATGTAACTGGGACCCTGTGTACACAATTTCATTCACACGACAAATAAAGAACCTTGAATCCTTGAATATTGACTGTAAACTGAAAGCAAATGGAATTATAGTCACACAGTCATTTTAAACCGTGACTTTGCAGAAAAACAAACTTGTTAAAACTATAATTTACTCTCCTTTAGCCTCAAATTAGACTTGCGGTTTACTCAATTACCTTGATAGAAATCCATCAGTGCCAAAAACGTGTGACTTCGACATGTAAACATTCCATAAGCGAAACATATTTTATATGTTGTTTTTTTGTATCGTCAAGCTGTTAAATACGCATCAAATTTTCACGTGTATGGGTAAACAATGCGTTAACAACAGCACCAGCTTCTTTTTTACAAGTCAGCTGTTTTGTCTCTATTACTACGTCACTCCATGGCACAGTGCACCAGAAGTGGACTGGCTTCAACCTTGCTCACGGCCTCTGTAAATTCAGAAGTCGCACCAATATTGCTAGAAGGAGTTTCTGTCCTGGACTGAAGTGTCTTGTGAAAAAGCCTATTAACAGATTTATTACAGAGGGAACATCGATGACGACACATTGCAACGTTGTGGTTATTTGTAAAACAAACAAACAAAAAATTGTTAACCACAAAGAGAATCACTAAAGCAAGGTAATTTATTATATTTTGTAAATAACAGGAGGCAGATGTCCAACATACATTTAATGCATTGCGCTCCATGTCAATACAGCTGAGTTCTGCTCCACACCTCTGTTGGTTCTGCAACGCTCTTCATTTTTGAAAACGTGCGTCTGCACAGGAAATGGTCAGCTTCACTTGTAATCTATGAACGACGACCCAAGGAAGGACAAAAATGGACTGGTCTGCACTGCCATTTCACAAAACTGTCTTATGAAAGACCATGTGAAGTGCTTGTTTACACGCGGTCTCTCCGTAAAAGTCATGTGGGATGTCACTTGTTTTTGGCACTGACGGCTTCCCATACGCCAACGCTTCCTCCCAATGAATGTTGCCACATATAAACAGTTATTTTAGCCGTTTCACTAGTTTTTGGCCACAGAACAATTCAGAAACACACACCGCGTTTAAAACTTTGCAAAAACATAAACGCTCTAGCTTGGGTTCAACCGTGTCGAAGTTCTGCAACAAATAATGAAATAAAAAAAAGTTAACGAAGGAAAACAAACTGAGCACACTTCCTGGATAAAGATAGCGGATTGTGTGCGCGCGCGAGAGAGAAACCAGAGGAAGGGAGAATGCACGTACGCACGCACGCACGTGCGAAAGACAGGAACACACTCACCGCTCGCTGGCTGAGACACGGCAGACACCGCGGTCTGACCCATATTTCAGCTCGAGCTCCGGGCCGAACCGGGCCCCCGAACCCGCTACCACAGCCGTCTATTCCCGCATGGGCTCGGTCCGCTGCCGCCGAGGCGGTTCGTTTCAAGAAAAAAGTTCCGCTCAGCGATGGCTGAGGCGCTGGAAACTTGGTTCCTCTCTGACTGACGGAGTGACTGATTGGGTCCCACGCAGCATCGTAACTTCCCCTCCCACCTCCTCGCCCTGTGAGCGCCTGAAAAGTGCCTCTCGTTCCGTTATGCAGATTAGACTGCCCGCTGGGGTCACGGGGTTGAGGGGCTCCGACACCTCCGGTCAGTGTTTTACTCACTGAAGACACCCACTGAACCACAGCACCAAAACTGTATGTATTAACTCAACTATCTCACCGGTTTAAGTACAATGTGGAGATTTTGCTACTTTATATTTACATAATGTCTTATTCCAGCACATATAAATCATAAACCAACTCATTTCAAGATGGCTGCCACTGTAGTTTGTTGCACCTGTCGGCCACCGTAATTTTGACCTTAACGCCCATTTAAAAAAAAGCTACAACTGAGTCAATTTCACATTGTTGAGCTAAGCTGAGGTGTGGTAGTAGCTAGGAGCTAACGCCATATACTCTGAGCGCTAACAGACCACACAAGATTGTTAATAAAAACCTTAGCACTGACTTTGTTGGTCATACTCAAGATGGCGGCCACAAATAGGCTATCTGACTTTAGCAATTACAAAATTCGTCTCAGTTGATTTGACAGAAATTTGGCTAAAAATTCGATGCGGTCGTAGCTAAAAGCTAACTCCATCACATACGCTGAGTGCTAACAGACCAGACCACAAGATTGTTAAAAAAAAATAACTTTATCATTGACTTTTTTTAGTCAGACTCAAGATGGTCACCCGCCACAGATAACTGACTTTAGCAAACACAGTAAATGGCTGTTGACTTTATTGACTTTAGAAAGCACAGAAATGTCTGTGGTTCAGTATGTTTTACAGATACTGAGCTATAATTTAGTTTGGTAGTAGCTGAGACTCATTCCAACACAACTACGTCAAGCACTGATGGGTTGTACAGAATTCAATAAAAGTCCATCAAGTCATCTGGACAGTTTCTTTTTTGTGGAAAGACGCTTCACACTATCCGGAGGGCTTCATCAGTCTGAGGAGTCCCAAGTAAACTGTTTTCCTCACAAAGCAGTACACTCCTTTAGTGGACCAGCCAGTTTGCTAGTGAAAAGATGGTTTGTGGGGGCTGTCCTGTCCCCTGTCAACTCCTCCCAGGCAGGCAGCCACAGCCAAAGTGGTTCAAGACATCAAAGTTCATGCTCAGTCATCCAGGTACAAAATCCAATAAAGGTCAACCAGTTTATCTGGACAGTTTGTTTTTTTGTGGAAAGACGTCTCCACCAAAAAGAAACTGTCCAGATGACCTGGTTGAACATTGCTGGATTTATATCTGGATTAATGAGCATGAACTTTGGTGAAAAATGCTAATAATTCAGTCAGTTTTACAGTTATTGAGCTACAATTTGTGGTGGTAGTTGCTGACACTCGTTTCCAACCTGTATTTTGAGCACAAACAAATTGTGCAAAATTTTAGTTTAAAACTTTAGCGTTAACTTTAGGGAGTCAATACAGTTCAAGAATTCTACCACAACATTGTCAACCTTAGCAAACTCAAAAATGGCTATAACTCATTAAGTTTACAAATATTAAGCTACAGTTTGTTGTTGTAGTAGCTGAGAGTCATTCCCGTCACATACTCAAAGTGCTTTGTTTAAAAATTTGGCATTAGCCTTAAACTTCAATCCAATTTAAGATATCTGCCACAATCTATTAACCTTGGCAAACATTAAATGGATATAGTTTTGTCAGTTTACAGATTTTGAATAGTATTTAATATTATTGTAAAATGAGAGACTTCACTGTGACTCAAGTAACACAAAGGGTCATCAGTGCCACAGTAACTTCAAAAATCTAGTTAAATGTAAAAATTATTGCTAATAGCACATTTTTGTCATTTATTTTCCAAAGATACTGGTGTAAAATCACAAAAAATACTATAGTTGTCAAGGCCATCTGTTGTCATTATGCTCTTAATTAACAATCGTTTGGCAAATATTCGGAGTCACAATCCTCTGCCATTGTTATTTTTTTGTGATTCAAAATCTGAAAAGTTAAAGAACCACTGCCTTTAAGTTTTATAATAATATGCTTATGAAATACAGCAACTTATTAGTCAGTGCGTATTTAGAAATGTGGTTTGTGATTCTTTCCAGGAAGTAAAGACACAATGATCGGAGACCTAACCACTAACCCTTTTCAAAACTGTCCACAATTTTACAACAAAAGCAAATATTTCAGCAGAGTTCAGCAAATATGTTTTCACAGTGTCCTTCTCACTTTTATTCCTTCTCAAGTTGAAAATAAAATCAACATTTTGGTTAAAATAGGCAGTCAAAAGCGAACTCAAATGAAAATTTGTCTGTCACTCAAGAAATTGCATCCTTTTTTTTTTTTTTTTGAAAATCTTCAAGTGTAGAGAGAAAGTTATGAAGAGGAACTGAAAGAGTTTTAAATCAAGGTCAAGCGTCATCTTCACTGCAACATCATGTTTCTGTACACAAACACCCTTCTGCCCATTCTGTATAGCTTCATCGCAGGAACAAAAGGGAAGATTAAGATATTATTTCACAACTAACTGAATGTTAAAATTATCTAACTAAATCTGGGTTTCAATGCTGAGATCCTTTATGCTGCTGGCTTGTCAAGGATTCATGCAAAAGTATGAAACTTCCAAGAAAGAACATCAATATGTGAGGCGTTTTTGACGACTAAACTTCAATGAGTGTCAACATTTTTTTATCCAAACATATGTAACTTGACTATTTAATAGATGGTTTCCCAAAATAGGAGTGAAACACCAATTGGGGGTTTTAAGATAAGTAACAAGACCGATGGTTTGAGAGGGGGTGAAGGAAGCCATTTATGTGAAATAAGAGAAACCATCTTTAAACAGAGGAGGAGGTCTCAGATTTCAATAATGCAGCTTTAGGCCTGATACCCAGTCATTTTCACACATATCAGGAATTTCATCCACATGACCAGAGTGGCTCCACTGTGAATCAGACTAACAAAGACCCTAACGAACCCCTATTGTGAGGAGTGATAGGGCAATCTGCATATGTATCTAGCTTACCTCGGCTTTATAACTTGAATCCCACACTCTGTTCTTTGAATTAAGAAAGCTCCTCGGATGAGAAGCGAAACGTCTTCTGTTACAAAATAAAGTCCTGCTGTTTTTATCGTGAACATTTTTTTAATTGACCATAAGTAATCAAATGAATTAAAACAATAAATCATGTTCATAATTTCATACTTTGTCATGAAAAACAACTGTGTAGTGGTTTTTATCTGTTTGTGTTGTAAAAAGGCCCACCTTTCAGCTGGTTTAGGGATGTTTTTATGCTTCAATCACCGACAGGGATCAGAAGTATCTTTCACTGTTATTTTGTGGTTTGAGAGCTGAAAAGGTAATGGACGCAAAGTGACACCAGATTGTAATTCGTTTTCTGTTTCTTCCCTGTTTATTCATCTTCATGTGTCAATCTTTCAGTATCACATGTTAAATTTTTGCAGATATCTTCTTGATTAGAGTTCTACAAACAAACTCAGATTTGGAATACAGTAGTCTCTCGTTTATCACGAGGAATCCGTACCCTGAAGTCCCGCGATAAGTCCGGCTGTACTCTCGGCCACGCCCACTTCTCCACTCTGCACGGAGATCAGCTGATCAGCTGCAGGAGGAAGCTTCTCCCCACAGCTGTCGGCTGCACACAGGTGCTAAATCATTTAAAATAATTTATTTTAAATAAAAAAAATCCATGCCAATCGTGTGGCTCATCCATCAATCAGCCATTGTGTGTCATGTCCAATCTTATTTTGAAAAACCGCGATAAAGCGAGTCCGCGAAAAACGAACTGCGAAGTAGCACTACTGTACAATATTTATACTTAACAGAAGATAAATTAAGCAAATTGCAAGAAAGCGGCCTTGTGAGCCAGTCAAAGTACAGATGAGTGAGAACAAAGAAGGCAGATAAACATGATAATGTACTTTTACTTCAGGCTGAGACACAACTGGGCCAACAAAAATAGCCAGTATAAAGTGCTGCATTACAGTACAATGTACAGTGTAGAATACTGTTGTTTGAAACAGGTAACATGAGTTTACACAAACTACTGTCGTAAATAATCATATTTTGGCATGAAAACATTTATAGATGTGTGTGGGTCAATGCTTTTGGATCAAGCTGCCTCGTTAGCCCATAATAATTAAATGAGCTTCTAGTCTGGACAATGTTAGTGGCTCCAGATGAGGCCTATTACAGTAAACTGTGCACTGAAGGCAATTTATTATGAGAATAGAGGATGACAGCAAAACCTGGACCCTGCTGTGAATCAAAAAGGGGAAACCAGCCAACTATATAGGAGGGCACCAGCGTAATGTGTTTAATATTAATGCTCCCTAACAGAGCCAAGCTGTCCTGCCTCTGACTTACAGCGAGCCTGCATGTGTGTATTTGAGCTTGTGTGACAAAGAGAAGACTTTAGCTGTCATCACTGTCAGCTGAGATCTTGCAGGACACCCCTTGATTCAAGTTAGCCATCTCACACGCAGCTGTAGCTGCATTATTCCAGATAAAATTACACTGACCACCTATATTAATGAACATTTTTTACTCTAAGCTTTAATCATAACCTTTACTTTATCCCCCTACTTTGAAACTCATTTATAGTAAATTATGACATGCTTTTTTTTAAATTTTCAAATAGAAAATACCATTGCTCTATTAGATCTCCAAACATATGTGAACTTTCCCTACTGTCACAAACAGCTGCTTGCATACAAAGAGACACTTGTGTGGCCACATGAACTTGTTTGGCAAGGAAGTGAATGGATTTTCCATTTTGA